AGGAGACTTGTCGACCAATAAATATGAGGCTATCAGCACAGAACAGCCTGCAACATTTTGCGGATTCATGTGGTTGTTACATGGCATCAGTGATCAAAATCCTAACATTTTGCCGGATATGAAATCCTCACAGCCAAACGGAAGAGCAGTCAATTGAAATTAATAAAACATAAAACATTCTGAATAAAAGTAACGAATATAGGAAACTAATTAAAAACTGTCTGGCTTGTAAATAGATTAAGAAAAAAAAGGAAAGAGAACAGGAAGAGTCACTGATTAAAAGAAGACTGAACTGAGCTGGAGCCTGTTTTCGCACCTAAAATTGTCAACCAACTGGTGGTTGTTGCATACACACAAATAAGCATTCACGAAGGTCCAGGACTACTGTATCATACGCTAGTTTATCTACATAGACAAAAGTTGTGGCCACATCCGCTCCTATTCCTGCATCACTAACCCACTTACATACATGCAGGACAAGCATAAAATAGCCAACCAAATAAAATGCCTTATAAGATCTCAAAGTGAGGAATAAAAAGAAAGTATAATCTCAGCTGGCCACCTTTCTTGGTTTAGGTTTTTTGGAGTGTTCGTGAATAACGCAATCTGGCTCTGACTATATTCGTCACATGACTGACGAAGGCTCAGCACCGAGTCATCGGGGTCGTAAGATGGTGAACCGAGGTCTTCTTCGGACAATTCAACAGATAAAGTGGAAAGGCAACAACCCTTCAGTATCCTATGCGCCCAATCCTTTCGACCCACCCTCTCAAACGAAATGAAAGGTACGTCAGTATCAATCAATTAATGGATTCTTCGAAACCCAGCTCCTCTTAATAAATGACAATAGCGTGGTTAGTGGTTAGTCTAGAGTGCTTTCTGTTACATTAGACACTGCATTATTTGAATACCTTTATCTAATTGGTTTAAATTGTAGGATTGATGTGGCACCGTAATCAAATTAATAGTTGTAATGAAAAACCTGAACATGTAAAATGCTAGCATGATAGGTGAGCGATAATTTTACCTGGCCTCTGGCGAGTAGTTTAAGATCTACTGCAGTTTCACCCGTGAGCTTTACAACTCGCTTTCCCAGACCTCGCTCGCCAAACCGACCCATCCAATCAAGATAACGTAATTCTGCCTGTTCATCTTTCGCAGTAACATAAACACATCGAAATGCTTCTGCAAATGAAGTGGATTCGAGGCCCGATACACTCTCAGTCTCACCCGTGGCGGACGCCGTTGCCGCAGAAGCAGTAACCGTGATCAAACGTAAAATAGCAAGCTCCGCACACACTGTTTTCCCACTGCCGGTGGGTGCAGCAATGAAGACATTATCGTCCGAATTGTATAGAGAGTTAAATACCTGGATAAAAAATGAATCAGTATCACAAATATAAGCATGAATAGAAATATACTTATTGCATGACGATCTGATTAAGCTGTGCTTAAATAATACTGGATGAATGGGGTGGAAAATAATGAAAAATGGTAACATTAATTCAGTTCTCTGTAGCATTCTTCTTTTCATATGCATAGTTTAAATTTAGATAAGTTTGGTGAACAGATTTTGCAGACTATCGTTTGTGTAAATGATACAAAGAACAAAAAACAGGATTAAAAATAGTTCAGTGATTGACTTATTACTATAGTTGCATCATTATTTATATCACAAATAAAGCAAGGCTTCGAAGGCCTAGGGAACGACCATAAATAATGAAAAGGTTACCATTTGGAATGAGTTGAAAAATAAAATTAATCTATTGGGTCAAGAAACTGAATAATATTAATGCTAAGATGCAATTCAATTTCAGCCCTAATTTCATTTGGGGCTTGAAGCCCTGGAAGATCTAAGTGATCATTTCTTGTGCCGAATGCTTTAGGATGCTCATAGGAAAGAAATTTTACGCTTGTTGCGAAGAAAAATTGGGTTGAGGAATCTCTTGTTTCATAATTGTTGATCCTACTTCCATTTCTTGACCCAACACTTCCACTCGAAATTGAAGTAGGCTCAACAATTGTTTCAACATGTTCGAGGAGCAATTTGAGTAATCAGTTTCACTAGAAAATCCTATGAATTCAGAGAAGTATAACTTGCCTGAGTTTGAATAGGATTGAAAACTCTAATCCTATCTGTATACAGGGCCTCGAACTCTTTATTCCTCAATGCAGTCACTGGGAGTGGTTGGAGGTCTAAAAGTTCGGTCGGAGGAGCTGTCTTTTCCGGCAAAAGCAGGTGACGAAATGAAACAGGTAGCGTGACTTCTCCGCCTATCCAACGGTCAGAAACAGCACGAATATAATAGTGTGGTGGCAGTGGGTCAAATATCGGCACAATAAATCTAAGGAGGCAAAATAAAATAACTTAGTAAAATTAATGATTGACAGGTTTTTTAAAGTGAAATATCAGAATATTTAAAATTAAAGATTAAAATAGCTCTTATATATCTACCTTAGTACATGTTCCTCAGTAGCATATCGTTGCTTCAGCACGAAAAATTCATAATGGAGTATAATGTCACCATTGACATCTTCTATAAAAATCCAAAACGCCTGTGCAGTGCCGTGAGTTTTATCGTCCCAGATGAAATCAGGAGTCAATGTCAGCTCGACACTGAGAGTGGAGCGAGTGATCGGTTGCATGTGTACACTCATTTCAAGTCTAGGCAATTGGTGAAGGTATTTGTGCAGCGGCTTTCCCATCTTTGGCATGCGAACAAGTTCCCCAAGTTCGTGGTGGTTCATATCATAAAGGCGATCGAAGGGGATCGCCTTTTTTTCCAGTTTACGAATCACCTCGTCAGGCAGTTTCTTAAACTGTCTTAGGGGACACATCGATTCCCACATGCGCCGCTCAATCATCTTGGCTAGCGTTAGAGCGTTGTCAGCCAATTCAGCCCAGCCCTTATGAAGCACAACCTCAAAAATTGCCCGCATAAGACGGCCGGCGGATTGTGTGATGTATACCATGTCAGAAGCGAGAGAAAAGCCGTCTAATTTAAGGCCTAAGGGTGAAAAATAAAGAAGCTAGTGATAAAGAGAATGTGAGGCAAGAAATAGTTTAGAAGTTGTTTGACCTTGTTTTCGCAACTTGGTCATAATGGTAGAAAGACTGATAGAAACGCACCTTGT